TTCTGCCCGCTAAGGGCTTATACAAAGGGGCCTCTAGGATTTCAGTGTTTAGCTGGAATTTGAAACATTCAACAAAGTAAAAATGCTTGCCAAAATTATACTAAGAGTCAGGCTGCAGTGAAAAGCAGTAAAAACAAGAAAAGGCAGTATATACTACATTTTGAGAGCAATGCAATAATCTACCTTGAATGCAAGTGAGAACACTAAATTACATGTTTGACTTTGGACTTTCACATCAAAAAAAGACAGCATCAGTGGATTTTCCTAGGCTTACAGAAACAGCCATGTAGATTTTCCTTCTTTGACTTGTCTGCAAGAAAGGAGTGGGGTAGTATCAGCCCTTCAACCCCTCTGCAGCTGCTCATCTCCTCACCCATCAGGGAGCCCCCTCCAAGCCCTTGTTCACAGCAATTGCATTGCAAGTTGTTCCGGCTCTGTCTGTGTAGATGGTCTAATTCCTACCTGTTGAGCAGTCAAGAAAGGCTATCATTAAACTGATAACCTGGAAACACACTAAGAGGGATTTGGTCCTTTACATGTTTTTTCAAAGGCTGAGATAAGCTGGTAGCACACCAAAGAACATCCCATAAACTGCTGCTGACACCAGTTTGACAGGTTCTGCAATCAAACCTCAAAGGCCTCCAGCTGAGTATGTCCCGACTGCAAACCTGCTCCCAATTTTCTCAGAGTGGTTTTAATTATACTTTTATGCTTGCATGCAGGCAGACCTCTGTAGCCAGTTTAATGAAACTGAAGATATTGATAAAAACTAGAGTATATGAAGCATACATTTGAAACAGTAAAATTGTTTTTAGAAAAATCCAGTCAAACAAGTCTGCAAAGGCATTGATAATATATGTGTCCCTTGCAGACTTGGGTACCTGAAAATTAAGTGATTCACTTGCTGAAATGAAATATGCATTAGTTAGAGCTCACGTGTGAGGGCTCTGTCACCTACACAGCAACCTCCATTTGGAATTACTGGGAAGAATAACATTATTATTATTATTACTATTACTATTATTACTATTACTATTTCCAGTTTAGTAGGCACCAAAGGGCCTCATGGACCAGGTGTCATTGTGCAAGTACAGAACAGAAATAGCTTAAAGAGCTCCTTGATGCAAACAGCACAAAACAACAAATATATATTAACAGAGAAACAGCTCCATGGAAACTATGAGAAGACATTGGTCAGTGAGATAAGGAGAAGACATAATACAGCCCCCATGGTCTGCTATAGTGAGTAAGATACCACTCCATTTTAGAGGAGGTGATGAACACCCACTGCTTCCGTGAGCTGGAAGGAATCAGGGGACATCATTTTCACGCCTGCCTGTCTCTGGGTGGAATAGTGCGCCTGCAGTGGCCAAATCTGGCCCTCCAAATGGTGGCAGAGATCTGGCAGCAGCTGAGGGAATACACCCAAACCACGCTGGTGTTTCCCAGGACGCTTCACACCCTCCCCAAGCATGTTGCTTAGGCAGACATTTTTAGCTTTGTGCTTTGAAACAAAGTGAGAAGATAAAAGTCAGCCAAGGCCTTTAATTTTCAGCAGCTGTCATAATGCAATCACTAGGCTACAGCAACTGAGAAGAACCTAACAGGGCCGAAGGGACGTCTTCGCTGTAGCACTCTCACAGCATGAGGATGCTGAGATGTCCCTACTTCCCAAAGCCTTGCTCTCAGAAGTTCTCACTTGGCAGCAGCACTGCCTCTGCTCCCACTGCCCATGTTGGCAGGGGCACTGGATGGGTGGTGGGCAGCAGTGAGGGTGTCCTCATCTCCCTAAGCAAGAAGCACGAGTGCATGCTCCTACTGAGAGACAGCTCTCACAGCCTGTTCCCAGCCACTGTGAAAACATTAGTTTATTATTCAAATTTAAATTGCATAAGCTATTCTTGGTGCTATGGTATTGCCTAGGGCCCCAGCTGAGATCAGAGCTTGCCCTGTTCAGACCTAGAAGGTTTTCAATCTAATTAAACAATAGGCAAGACTTGGAAGGGAAAAGCAGAGACAGAGAGTTGAGGTGAGGTTTTTTAAGACAATGGCTCAGGGCTAGAAGCCCCAGTTTGTTTGCTCCCACCCCCACTCCCTTACCTGGCTTTGGGATACTCAGGCATTTCTCCTTAGAGTCATGACATCTATTTCAAATGTCTCACTTGGTATCAGTGTCCCACTTATGCTGTGGCACTCTGGCTGCTAAAACAAATCCCTTTGAGTTTCTGTTTGTGCATAGGTCACAGCTCTGGCTACAGCCTGGTATAAATACACTTTGTCAGCTAGCTCTGATCTTGATATCACAGAGCTCTACACAGATTAACCTCCCATGCCTTCACCCAGCTCAGGGAAGGCATTGCAGCCAGTCCCTTATTCACAGCCACCAAGACCCTAACTACCTAGTTTAAACTTAGCTCGGGCATATCCACAGTACACTGCAGTTACAGCCATGTCAAGGGGCATCATAACAACTGGCCAGAATGAACATGAAACACAATACAACCAGTTAGGAGTTCTGATTTCAAAATCAGAGTTAAACCCACCCACTATTCGCCGCATTTTCTAAGTCTTCTTTTCCTCAGTAGCTGCAGAGTAGCACCAGGGGAGGGTGTGTGTTGCCTGGCACCACACCAAACACAAGCTCCTAGATGATCATTTAGTCAGATCCCCACTGGTGTGGAGAGGGCAGCTAGCCTCCGGCTGGACACCTGAATACTGCAGGCTGCTCTTGAATCTCCCATCACTCTGTGCCCACCCTGCCTCAGCCACTGCATGTTACACCAGTCACTCTTCTAATGAAAGCTGTCAGGCTGGGCAGACGAAATGTCCAGTCACCTAAACACTGCTGGGGGTGCTCTGGCACTTGAAGTGGATGAAATGGAGCTGGTCTTCTTACAGAAAAACTGATCTCAGATCTTTGGAGCTTTTTTTCTAGATTTAAAAATATGGATTACTGACAAAATACAGCCACAGATGAACTTTCATGTGGCTACCCAGTAAAAACGGATAGCAAAATATGGAGCCCTACTAGCTTTAAATGCTGATACATTGCAACAGATCTTTCATCTGCTCTGCTTCATGAAATGAAGTGAAAGCGGCAGAAAAGGCTGTTAGGGGGTTATTTTCTCTGCCTTTGCTGGCCTTGCCTGCAGCTGCAGTCCACACGCAGGCTGCAAAACAGAGCTGACAAGGTGCCCTCTCAGCTCACTCAAGCCACGGAGCAGGGACACAGCTGGAAGGAATCCAGTGCAGGATCACAGTGGTGTGAAGCCAAGAGTGGGCTTTCGTTAGTGTTGGGGCTACCCCACGTGCCAGAGAACATAGGAAGGGAGCAGCAATGCTCCTCTTCAACAGTGGAGTTCAGTGAACCACATCAAGTTCTGCCTGGTGCAGCTCCTGGCCAGTCTGAGCCACTGACTGGGGACTGGAAAGATGGAAGAAGGGAAACTGTGTCTGTGGTGTAGATACCTCTCCCACAGTTCACTTGGAGGTCAGAAGCAGTGTACACAGGGTAGCATCCTGCTCCGCCTCTAAAGCCTGCCAGAGCTTATGTCCACAGGTTAAAATTTGAGTCTGGCAATGTCTGCATGGTTAAGCAAGGCTTAGAGCTCAGGCACAGCTCTGACCATGCTGGCTGTCACCTTGATATAATCCCACTGCCTGGTTCTGCACAGCATCAGTGGTTGGACCTGCTCAGATTAGTCCCTGCCCATGGAGATGATCACATTATCATTTTCCATTCTGTAGGTAATCCTAGGAGTCCTTTCCTGTAGATGTCAACCACAATTCTACATAAAAAGAAGTATGCATGGCTTGTGAGGAAAGGCAGGGAGTGGAAACCTTTGCACACATTGATGCTGTCCTCTTGAAGCCTTCGTAGTTACCAAGGGAAATGTTTTCAGAAGTCTCAGCTCCTAGGTACTCTATTGCTTTTGAGCACCCTGTGTAGAGACACCATAGCTGCAACATTCAGGAGAATAGGGCACCCATAGTTCCCAGGTCTTTTTTAAACCACTGGCCTGGGTCTTTCTATTTTTCCTCAATTTACCTTTCTGCAACAAAGAACCAGAGTAGCTTGCAACCTGAAAAAGGTGCAGAGAGTTTCAGTTCACTGGTGTTTGTGCTTCATGGTTTCCAAACAGAAGCTAATTTCCATGTCCAAAGACAAAACTTAGTATCTTCCACCAAAGTAGAAGTTCACCATTCTAGAGACTCAAATTTTACCGTGGGTTTTTTCCTCTGTTAATGCAGATCACTCTCTACTCTGAAAGGTTTGAAGAATTTCAGAAAACATTGACTAAAAGCAATGAAGTGTTTGCCACATTCAAACAGGAGATGGAGAAAGTGAGTAGCAGCTCATACCTGAACTCTGCGCTTAACACTTTCTTTTTAAATTTTGGTATTTCTCACTGCAATAATTTTATCTGGGATGGGACCATTTCTGCACTTTTTGGAGAACAATCTCGTTAGTGTCCAAATAAGATCTGGAGCACACTCAGCCACAACTGATAGCAGCTTACACTTCAGCACTGTAAGCTGAACATTTCACTTTCCCTTTCAGAAAAAAACAAAATTCCCCTGAAAAATAATCATTTTACCTAGAAGTTAGTGTGGTGGTTGGGTACAGACCCCCCAGAGATACCAAATGGGGAGTCTGGAGCTGCATTTGTCAGCCCATGTCTTCAGGAGTGCCCAGAGCATCCTGGGTGACTGACACTGGTACGGAAAGGTTGATACAGGCTACACATCTTCCTACTGGCATGCGCAGGCAGAGCTGAAGCCCATCAACACCTTCCCACCATTAAGCCCAAGTGACTGTTTCCTTGCTGCTGGTGTACTAATTTCCTGTAATGAATGGGAGCTAAAAACCAAACACACCCACATGACGTAACCACTTTCACAATAAAAGATGTTCAGCTCTGCCACTGGGGCCCAAATACCTGGTGTCCCAATCCAGGCAACCACTGATGATTTTCACAGAGAGTTCAGCCTGCAGAAAACCAAATGGGAAGACAGTGCTATTTAGGTAGTGGTATGTTTTGAAGGTAGTATAGAGGTGACTAATCCAGAGGGAACTCTGTTGGTCGTGCTGGCTCGGAAGATCAAAGCCCTTCTTTAACTTCCCAGTAATCTAACACTGTGGTCTGGTAAAGAGACAAACAGAATAATGCCACATTTTCTTTGCCTTTTGTTTTTGTGACAGTTTGTAATCTGGGATTTGGCTATTCTTTTAACCACATAAATAACTGGCCCTACTTTAGGACTACATACTGGAGGCTGAAAGTTATATGACAGCTACTTAAAACAAAATCCATCCTTTACCATAAATTATTACTTAGCACAGCCACTACAGCTGCAGGTAGCAAAGTTATGAGTACAGCCAAAGAACTGAATAAAAGCACTGCTCTAATTTAATCTTCAGCATGGAATTCCTGTTGTGATTCAGCTTTTCCTCCTGCTTCTGTAGATGACAAAGAAAATGAAGAAGTTGGAAAAGGATACTGCTACTTGGAAATCCAGGTTTGAGAACTGTAACAGAGCGTTACTGGACATGATTGAAGAGGTGAACAGTTTTTTTCTTCTCAGGATGCACTTCTTTCCCCACATAAAGCTTTAATTAGGAGATGAGGTGACCTGAAACTGCCAGAAGTCAATGACAATTTTGTTCTTGAATCTAAGGGTCTTTATTTCAAGCTACCTTGGTAATTAGATATCTTTACAGAAAAAGACAACCCCAGCTGCTGGGGCTTTTAGATTGTACAGAGGCATTCATTACGTCCACGAGAATCTGAATTATGTAACTGTGAATTTTAAGTGCTCTAAAAATGTGTGATTGTTAATGCTCTCACATAGAAACAAATTGGCATTAGTTCACTTCATGCAACTTTCTTTCTGCGTAAGAGCATCCACCCAGGGAATTAATGTGCTCTCGCGAATGAACTTCAAATTTACACCTTTCATTATCTTCCTTTGTATGCAAACTCTAGGAGCCAAAAGCAAGTACTGTGGCTCACCATAGTTTTAAACATGCTGTCACAGGGGCATTGCAGAGGAAATTCGTAAGCATGCTGGAACTCATTCAAATCAGATAAGAGGCTGCTCGAAGTTTCACCCCAAACTTACACTGAACTTGGACCAGTCTTTCTGATTAGCTTTGTAGCTCTGTACCATTGCTGTTTCTGGGTTTCTATATCTCTTGTTTCCTCACTGACTGTAGAAACAAGAGAATGTTCCAGTTCAGGCTGCTCTCACAAAAGCTAGAAACAAAACAAACAAAAAATATAATATAGCTTGTTTTCCCCAAAATTCACATACACTGGAAGTCCAGATAGGCTTTTGGATGCTAGTCTGTACAGACATCCACTATATTTTTCCACCTTCACAAATCAACAGGTACTCCTGCAAATATTTTTGAGTGAAACTGATCTGGATCTGTATGGAGAACGCTAATACACCACAGCAACACAGCTAAATTTCCTCCTGAAGCTTTAGTAGAAAAGACCGTAGTTATTGTAGAGCAGTTGGCAAAAGCCAGCTATCTGGCAGAGTCTTGTGAGGGCTGCCTAGATCTCAAATTATTTCCCACCTGCCAGTTCCACCAATTAATTGCATGCTCCCAAACTCAATCCTTGCCTTTGTCTGATGTCTTTGACCACAGAAAGCCATGAGGACCAAGGAATATGAATGCTTTGTGCTGAAAATCCAGAGGCTGGAGAACCTTTGTCGGGCTCTGCAGGAAGAGAGGAATGAATTGTACAAAAAAATAAAGCAAGCGCAGTTCCCTGAAGAAGTGAATGGAAACGGCATCTTAGAAGAAGAAGATGACACCGATAGAAGCCCTTCCTCTTCTGAGCAGGCAAGCATTGAGCTACGCACTAATGATGAGAGGATGCTGAAGGAGTTGGCTGAAGCCTTTAGGGTGTCCCACAAGGCAGAGGAGCCCGTCCCAAGCAACAGCAGCAGTCCAGAGACCAGTGATGCTCAGACATGTAATGCCATCCTGGTGCCAGATCTCCTCTCTCCTCATACCCCACAGTCAGAGGCTGGGAATCACTGTGAGCAGCCCAGCACGAGCACACCATCACCCACTGAAAATATGACAACACCCACTGAAAACATGCCAAAGCCCACCAGAAGCATGCCCGCACTCCTCGAAAGGGTGCCAGTACCCACAGAAAGTGCGCCAATACCCCCCGAGAGTGTGCCAGTACCCACTGCGAACATGCCAAAACCCACTGAAAGCATGCCAGCAACCCCTGAAAACCTGCCAACACCCGCACAAAACATGTCCCTTCCCCTTGGGAATATGCCAGTGCCCACAATAAGTCCACCGAAAGCTGCAGAATGTGTGGATGACCCAGCAGAGCAGTCTGTCCGAGGTCAGTCCTCAGAGCAAACGGGGGACACAGACATGGAAGCAGTGGATTGAAGACACCGGTGTGTCCAGGCTTGTCTTCTACAAACCACAGCTCTACTTTGTCCTCTAAATCTATACACTTTTTTTTTTGTAAAGAAACAAAAAGTGGGTGTTAGAACACACTCACGTATCTGTAAGCAATTGTAATGCTTTTCTCTTTGCTACCACTCTCCAGTAATAATGGGTCTGCAAATTTTGCTGTCTTTCATCTGCTTGAAGCTTATTTTCTTAATGACATGAAAATACAATGAAATTACAGGATCTTTTTTTCCCAGGCATGATGAGTCATCTAATTCAGCAAAATAATTTTAAAGTGTTGAAGTTTCATGTTTCAAAAATCGTTGCTATTCACATACATATATTTAAAGGCTCATAATTAATTATATCTATTTGTTACGATGTTTCATAAAAGATGGCCTACTTGGACACATAGTGATTGTAATAAACGAGGTGAAAGGAATCTGAAATTACAAAGTAAAATAGTGAAACCATCGATGTGGTCAGCCATATCCAAGCAAAGGTGCAATAACAAAAGCTGAATTTTTGTATGAGCAAACTACTACTCAGCACTGTGGTCTGAACACCCACAAGCCCTTAGCCTTACCTTGAATCGCTGTTTTCTGCTTAGTGTTCTAAAAGAGGTTTTGTTTTCAACAGAACTGCAGGGGAGGGGAGAAGATTTTTTCTAGATTCCTCATAAAATGACTGAAAACAACAGCAACTTACAAATTGATGACAATTCCCAAGGTAGGGGTCGCAACCCTCTTTCTGCATCCAACAGAAACCTGGTAGTTTGTCAAACTATTTGGGATCATGAGCCAAACAGAGGGGCTTGTGGCTGTTTCCAGCTCATAAATGAGGTCAGAAGTTCAGAAGTTGGTTGCCAGCTCCCAGCTTCTAGATGAGGAACAGAAAGCTGAGTGGAGCTACACTAGAAGGTATCAGGATGTACTCCAGAAGATACCCCTAAAAGATCATGCTTCTTGATGGTGACATCTCTCCCAGTCGCAGCCACATGAACCTCTTCACAACAACTTCCTCCTGGTCCTGCTGCAGGTACTGACGGCCCAAGGAGAAGGGTGAGCACACTCACCTGTTGCCCTGTTCACTGTTCCACTTGTGTAGAATGCAAGTAAATAGCCCAGAAGCAAAAATAAAAGGTAGCAGGAAAGCAAGAATCCCTTTCACAGACACCTTCAGGAACTGGCTGTATTCTCATCCCCTCTCTTGTCTAGCCAGCTTTTCCTGTCTGCCTGCCAACGTATCAGTCGTAATGCAGCCACCTTGTCAGAAACTGGTTGATTCTGGCACCAAGAACAAATATGAAAAAAGAAGGTGACAAGAGAGGGTAACTACCCAGAGAGCTGTATGGTCTCAAGCAAGGATGGTAAGAAGGCTTTTTGGAAATTTAAAAAAATCCTGTTGGCACAACTCTTCTCATCTCCTTTCCCCGGATTCAGCCCAGGCCTTTTGAAATCTGAGCTGGGTAGTATAGGAAATTGAAAAGAGCGTTTAAACAAGATGTCCAGGGGCTGGAAAGGGAATGTTACAATCAAACAAACCTATGGTTATAGACATATACCAAGAAGCCCCAGAAGACAGAACAACTCATTCAAGCTGGAATTGAAGTACAGGTGAACCAAGAGAAAAGATGCCATCTTTGGCAGACTATAGGAGACTGCGGTCAGAGACCTTCCAGCACACCATCCTCCAAAAGGACGCTTTGAATCTTTGCTTCCTGCCAACATGGCCCGCACCCTGGTTAAGTATGTCTATGTCTGTGTCTGCACTGCTCTGCTCAGCCTTTTTCAGAGCTAACTGTTGGAGTATACAGAGTGTGATTTGCAGCAGTTTGTTTTGGTGTCACCTTACAAGCAGCTATTATGGCTACAATTTTCAAATGGAGATGCCTTATGTTAGATACCAAGACTGACAGGATTTATTTCATGTCTTTAATCACCGGAAAGTAGATCATTCAAGTCTTAGTTACCTTAAGCTCCTTTTACAAGCAGTGGAGAAGAATAGGCATCTTTCAAGGACAAATCATGTCATGGAAAAACTGGCATCCAAGACAAGAAATTATTTTCTCCCTGAAGATGCTTTTTCTCTTTGCTGGTTCTAGAGCCAGCCTAAGACAGCTAGTTTACATTAAAAATGTCTATTATTAGGTGTCTAAATTAGGCAAGATGAATCCCATCAAATGTTCAGATTCAAAGCCATCAGTGAATGGTCATCTCTGAAAACCAAGCCAGTTATGTGCTTATGAAAATGTTAACACGTAACAAATCCTTATCCTAAGGTAAAAAGTTATACTCACCTGATATACTTTTTAAAGTTTCCACTGACTTAAGTCTGTAGAAAAATAGTTTCCATTACAAGTTTTGTTTGTTGTTAGGGTGACTTGTAAAACTAATACAATTTATATACCTATTGATGTTTTTTTTCCTTTCTTAGTCTTATTTGATTTCACTGCTATTCTATTAATTACCTGCATGAAGCCAACTTCTTTTGCTTCCTTTTTCTTTTAATTGTTAAGGTTTTCTTATACATTCAAATATTCAATTACATAATAATAATGATTGACATGGCCTTGCAACTTTAACTCACTTCTATTTTGCACAATCATTATGGTCGCATCTTTAATTATATAATTGTTGCCTCATTCCTTCCAACCTCAGCAAGCAGAGAGACAAGGATCCTACAGATAAAAACTTCCTACATAGTCATGATTGATCCTTACAGCATCATCCCTCATGAATAATTACATGGCCTTCTGGGAAAATCACTCCCACTCTATTCCACCTTCCTCATTTTCGCCCTTTTAATCCTTGCATCTAAAACACTCACATACTTGCAATTCCTATTACTCTGTGAGTTCCTACCCACATACCTATTGCTTCTCTTCTTCCATACCAGGTACGAACTGCATTTTTCCCCAGCAGTTTTCTCCTTTTTCTCAGTGCATACATGCAACACAAAGCACAGGAGGATGACCCTCCCAGCTTTTAGTTTCAGGATTTGGCCTCACATGTTTGCAAGAAATGGGAGAAAGCATTTTGCAGAAAATTGTGGCTGATCCCAGGACAGATAGAGCATTTAAACTCAAACTATGGAGAGGAATCTATAAAATTTAACCATGCACCTCTTTGTCATCCATTGCATCAGACTGGCAGTTCAAACCACCAACATCATCACAGATTTCTGTGTGTTAACCTTTCTCATTCTTTTCCAACATTAACTGCTGACCTCCTCTTGCTCTTTTCTTGTACTGATGCCCAATATAAAATTGCCTCTGTATGGTAGCAATGTCCTTGTGAAAAGCCTTTGGGATTGCAGTCTGCACATCAGCTCTGCTGCATTTTCCTCAGGTATCTCTGCACACAGATACAGAAACCCACCACACTTCTGTGATCATTCCGAGGCAGTTAGTAGCAGTGCGACATGTATCTTCCCTAGCGATCACCCCTATCATCATTATTCTCCTGATACGGCCAGCCTCCTCAATCCTGGTGTGTGCTGTGGTTGCCTCCTTCAGTCTTGATTTTGTTTCACACACTTATTCCCACACAAGGCACAGATTTCAGGGTGAGGAAAGGTGGAGATGGCAGCCATATCCTCTTCACTAAAACCACCCATTGCTGCACTACTTGTGAACCAGCAACAACCTATATTTGCAGAAGTTTCAAGGAAAGAACAAAAATATTTTCCCTTTTTACATGCCTGACCTTTGTGACTTCAAAAATTTATCAGCTCCCCTGCCAAACATGTAAAACACAACATTCTTCACTAACCCACAGTTCATCCAAATGTGAGGGGATTTTCATGATGACAGCTAAAATTATATCCATGATGCTAACACGACCCTCTCACCTAATTTCTAATCCCTGTGGCAGACCACAGTAATGATAAATATTGTTGATGAGAGATTAGTAAGAAACAGCTGATCTGTTTCAGCTTAACTTTTCCCACAAAACTGAACAGAAGTAGATGCAGACATAGAATATACAATCCAGATGACAGAACTGCAGCACTAGTGCAAATGATCCAGAAAAGGGATGCATGCCAAAACACAGTGCAACTATCATCCTAGGCTTCGCTATTAATGTCATCTTTAAACTCACTTTGTCAATGCGACTGCAATCAACCACATATGCAGTCATATTTGGATTCACACTGTCACTCTGTCTTTGCAATGAACACCATTGAGCTCATCAGTATTGAATTTAGACTTTATTTTATTAGGAAACAGCAGCAGGACTTGTTCCACTCCTGGGCCCACGTGCTACCCCTGCATTGCCATTCATACTAATTTTCCTCCGTGACCTTTGCTGATCCAAGGGCAAGCATGAGGAATGAAGAAAACCCTGCCCTCAAGTCAGCCTGCCCAGCAATGAAGCACATGGCAGCTGAATGGGGGAGTTGGAAGGACAGGGAAGGGCAGACATGGAGAAAGGGTGTTTGCTGCACTGGCGGGCTTCCCTTTCCCTGAATATTTTGTGCTCAGCCAGTGCTTAAACCCCAGGGGAACCCGGAAATGTCAACATCCACAGTCCCCACTGGCTCACAGCTTCTCGTGGCTGACAGTTCCAGTCACCCTGCAGCCCCGGCCACTCATCACACTTGACCCAACACAGCGAGTCAAGTGGTAATTGCTTGTGGGCCACAGATGGCTGAAGAAACCATATACCAGCTCCCACACACACACATGGTGGAGGTTCTTACATTTCAATCCTGAATTTGGAAGAGGGGTGGCAAAGAAAGATGCCAGGGCATATCCCAATTGTGAGTAATTTTCTACATCAGAAAAGTAGCTTCCACACTCCTTGTATTTGGAGATGGTCTGAAAGAAAGGGCATATGAAGAGTCCATATGAAGAGGTAATGTTTCAGAAATGTATATGGACAAGGGTCTAAAGAGACTGCTCTTTGCCCCTATTCAAGGGAGCCACATAATGCAAACATGCTCAGACAGAGCAACTGAAGTCATGCATCCAGGCTAGTCCTAGATTTACT